TCCTTCCTTCCTTCCTTCCTTCCTTCCTTCCTTCCTTCCTTTCCTCCTTGAATCCTTCAAAGTTGGCATTGTTTTGCCCTGGGCACCTGCTCTCAAACAGAAGCATCAAGACCGAAAGCCAACATTGCTTAACCAAGTGCCTGCATGGCGAACTCACCTACCAGCCTTCATCGAAGTTCCTTGTAGACAATTACCACTTGCCTCGCCTCTTCTCAGCTTTTGTGTGAAAATGCATTTGCAAAACAAAAAACCGGAAGGACATTTTTGAGTTTTTCTTGGTGTCTCTTCGCTCCGTCTGCCTCTTTCTGCTTGGAGTAGATTCTCACTTCTGACACCAGCACTGCGACTGCGATTCTAAACTATTTTTGAGCAAGAATAAGCAACTTGGGCATTTGCAGAAGGGGAAAGTTGGGGGAGAAGAGAATCCGAAAGAAACTTGGCGCTTTGACAAAACCACCACAACCACCAATGCTTTAAAACCAACACAAAACCTCCAAGACTTGAATTGTTACCAGTGGATCCCGTTTTCAGTAGTTTTATATTTTTATTTTTTGCACTCCACAGTTAGGTTGCTGCTTTTAAAGGAGGAGGAGGGGGATGTGGCATGATTGAGGGGATGATGAGTGGCCAGCACTTTCCTCACCCCACCCCACCCCACTTCTTTCCCTCTCCCCACCTGGTGCATGCAGAGTTTTCACAAAGTGCCGTAAATAATGTAATTGCTGCAACCTCTTTGAAACCATGTTTTTCTAAGTTTAGAAAAAAAAAACCTTTCGTTTTGATGTTTTAAGAACTGGGCTAACCACCCCCCTGCATGTGCTAAGTAACAAAAGCTACCTGTTGCATTCCTGCTTTGCTTGGGCAAAACTTGTCTTCTGTTTTTTGGAGGGTCAGAGAGTGCCCCACAAAAGAGGAAACATTCTCTGCTTCAGTTTCTTCCTCCATCACTAAGTGTGGCTGTTGTTGCTGTTGCGCATGGCATGGGTGTTTTTGTGAGATCCGCAAAACAATAATAATAATAAAAAGTGTTTCAGGATGTTTCGCCTTGCACCTTAACCTGTATTCCTTGTGATATGCTTTCCCCCACCCCTTATGCGGCTGGAAACGTTGCTGACTTCCCACAGTCTGTGTAGCTGGTTGGGGGGNAATTCATCTACGCTCTTCTGATCTGACTTTCGGTTTTCTTTGGATAGGAACTTTACGGACCAGCTGCGCAAAATTTCTAAGGACGCCGGGATGCCAATCCAGGGCCAGCCTTGCTTCTGTAAATACGCCCAAGGTGCTGACAGTGTGGAGCCCATGTTTCGACACCTTAAAAACACATATTCAGGACTCCAGCTCATCATCGTCATCCTGCCAGGAAAGACCCCAGTGTATGGTATGTCATCAGAATCGGTGTAAGGAAAAGCATTTTGTTCTGACCCAGGCTTCCCGAGAGCATGAAGCAAACTCCTTGTCCCAACAAAAATCCCTTTTATTAATTAATTGTGAAGTCTTTCAAGGGACGATTTACAGTCCCAGACCTTATCTGTCTTGGAGAGCTGCCAGGCCGATATCTGCAAAACTTGGCCAGGAGTCTCGGAGAGTCAGGAACCAATTAAGTGAACTAATGGTCTCCTGCAAACTCCACTCCCCTTTTGCTCTTCTTTTATTCCCTATGGGAGGGATTTTCATCATCTACCTGTGGCCTTACTCCCAAGTCAACCCCTGTTCCTTAGCTGTTCCCTTCATCTGGCAACTCTGCGCATGCGCACACAGGCTCCAGCTGTTCCTCTGCCTCACTGATGTCTGCCTCTGAAGGCAGCTGATAACTGGCATACGGCCCTGGCCCCTCTCTGCCTTTGACACAGAGCTCTCATCAGAGCCTTCCCCAGACTCCAGGACTCACCCAGGTTCCTCCCCAACCTCCTCACTGTCCAAATCTGCTGCCAGCTCTGCTGGCTGCTGGCAGGCCAGAACATATTTGAGAAGGGTAGTCTTTAATTACTGCTTACTGTTCTGGCTGCAGAATTCTGGGAGTTGAAGTCCACACATCTTAAAACTTGCCAAAGTTGAGAAACACTGCATTAATCTAACCAACTTGTAGTATTAGAAAGTTTGGAACATCTCAAGAATTCTCCCTTAAGGGACTTTGATTTTATTCTCCACCTTGTTAATGGACGTATTCCTAAAGGGATTTGCTTGCGCTAAACAGGAACCGTCCTTTTACGAAGACCACTGACCTTTGATGCTCTGTTCTTTCCCTGCAGCGGAGGTGAAGCGTGTAGGAGACACCCTTCTGGGCATGGCCACTCAGTGTGTGCAGGTCAAAAATGTGGTGAAGACGTCCCCCCAGACTCTTTCCAACCTCTGTCTCAAGATCAATGTGAAACTTGGAGGAATTAACAATATCTTGGTGCCCCATCAGCGGTATGTATTGCTCGGGGTTGACCACTTTCCTTGTTCCTACTCTATGCTTCTATTATCTTCTCTCTCTTCGTCTTTTGGAACTCCTTTGCAAAATCGATCATGAGCTCCTGAAGTCTACGAGGTCTGGTCATAAAATAGGTTTTTTTCGGTGCTGTTGTTACTTTGAGTGGTCACTAGAGAAATGGTTGTCAGTCAAAAACTGCCTGTAGTATCTACCCTCAGTCATCTGAGAACCCTCTTTGGCGATCCTTAAGACTCCTGCTTCATGTTGCTCCTAGATCTGCCGTTTTTCAGCAGCCGGTTATATTCCTGGGAGCTGATGTGACTCATCCTCCAGCTGGTGATGGAAAGAAGCCCTCCATAACAGCTGTAAGTTCACTTTTCCAAAGTTGGGGTCTTAAACAAAACAAAGATGCTTCAGCTTTGGAATTTTGGTGGAAACCGGGTCTCAGCAGAAGACCTGATTTTGGGAGTCCTCTCCTCCTCCTCCCCTCTCCTCCTCTTCTCTCCTCCCCTCCCCTTCTCTCCTTCTCCTCCTTTCCCCTCCTCTCCCCTCCCCTCCCCTCCTCTCCTTATTAAGGCTGGTAAAGCAAGGAT